GAAAATAATTATTATTATTAATGAATTTATTATATTATAAAATTATTATTTTATTAAATTTTATTGAAATTTTAAATCTTGAATCCATATCTTTATATCAGTTCAATGAACAATCCAAATTTTAAAACATTGATATTTGCATATGAATATTCTTTTGTATCTAATATTCATGAAAGTTCATTCCAATACATTCGAGGACAATAATTATTTAGATTTATGTGTCTAAGCTTATTTATCTTTTGTCATTTTCATGTAAGAATATATATAATTTGATACTATAAATTATTTGAGTATCAATTAAATTTAAATAGTTTTCTATTACTAAAAAGAATCAATTTTATTTATTTATTTTGTGTCTAGAATTACAAAATATTTTTTTATTGCAATTTAAGTTTGACATATAAGTCATTTAAGACAAACATAAAATCGGGTAGAAGTGAAAAAATATATTCCTTTAAGGAAATGATATTCCATCTAAACTATTTAATTCCATTTGAAATCATTGCATTGAGAGAAAATAATATTGTGAAATAAATTTTTAAAAAAAATCCTACATAGACATATAAATTATTACTTTAAAATGTTATAAATTACTTTATCAAACATGTTTATTTTTGTCGAACAAGATATTAAAATAAGTTTTTAATTAGTTGAAAATTCTACCAACACACTAAGGTTTGTGTTGTGGAGTAATATATCTCCTTAAGTTCCTAAAAAAAAACAAGCATTGGTTGTTTCCTCCTCCAGAGTAGTGAAGGCTATTAGGAGTAGGAGTATATTGTTGTGGTCATATTGTGTTACTACAAACAATAATATTTCTTTTGTATTTTACATAGATAAACATTTCATCAACTTGAACTAATGATGACTTGTAGCATTGAAAACCCTCTAATGCAGGGTTTGAATGACTATAATACCCTCTTGAAGAAGACTTGGTCTTTAACCCGTTGTTATCTATAGTATGCAGGATAAATGTTTATCTTCCATATGAATATGGGAGCTACATTATGGTAAGAAGATGTGATAACCTATTATATGACTTCTCCTAATTGTTGCATAGTTTCTTAATAGCTAATTGTTTTGCTAGTCATGCCTTACCATAAGTGACAATATATCTTTTGGTGGACTTGAGACGATAAATTATTATTGAGATAAGGTTGAAGAATCAACATCCATAATCTCTAGGATTGATTAAGAAATAAGGTGTGATCCAAACTTTTTGAGAGATTAATGTAGAACATGTGTGTAAATGTCTTCCAACTTTATTATTTGTCAATATTGTTCTCTAGTGCACAATATTGCTCTACACCTTCAATCACACTTTGCATGAATACACTACACTACAAGCGTAGATTGACTTGAAATTTGTACCTTATATGTGCAATGATGAATTATGTAGAATTTTATTATGTCTTGGACATTTTATTTGGTGTTGAATCATTGACCAAGCAGTCAGTGGCAGATCTTGACTATTGATTTGGGGGGGGACAAATAATATATTATTAATAAATGATAAATAAATATAAAAGAAAAAAGAATATGAAAGGGTGAAAGAATAAAATTGTAGATATATACTTAAATATATTAAATGATCATTAAGTTTGAGGGGGACAAAATCATAAATTATATGAGAGTTACAAAACCGAGGAGGGGTCGAGAGGATAAAATTGTAAATATACAAGTAAATATATTAAATTTTCATTAAGTTTGGGGGGGGAAATCATAAATTACATGGGAGTTACAAAACTTTGGGGTGGACATGGCCCCCTCAACTCCCAAGAAGATTCGCCACCCTCAACTCCCAAGAAGATCCGCCACCGCAAACAAGTGTTACAGGGGGTAGACAAGTGTATCTCGATAAAATATATGGTCAAATTCAGGGTCAAGGTCATTTATGATGGATTAAAATTGGAGCAATTGTTATGGTGGATTGTAGCTTAGTTTGGGTTGTGGTTCTGATTGTTGATCCTCTTCTTCATCCATACTAACAACAAGAATGTCATCTTTGTCCTCACTAAAAGAATAAAAACTTTCAGATATAAGACCTATAATAACATGTTCTCCCATGCTTTGTTGTTAGGTTGGTTGGGTGAGATTCATCTTCTCTAAGGTTAACCAAAGGCCGTCTAAGTTGTGTGTATGTTTGCATATATGATTCCTAGAAAACACAATATGAAGGATTATGTTGTGAGTGGTATGATGATTCAAGTTGCAAGTGGTATGATGGTGAAGGATGATAAGAGAATTCAAATTAAGGGTGGTATGCTAAATGAGTTTTTGGGTTAAGGTAATTAAGATGAATGATATTTTGGGTTGAGTTCATTAAGTTTAATGAGATTTAAATATAACAAATAATTCAATATTTGTTGAGATTGCCTCAGATTTGAAAATGGCAAACATTATGTTGACATTATCATCATTTGTTAGCTCAACAACACATCATTTGGTGTGATCCTCTTTGTAGATTTAAGAAGCTTATGTAGACAAAGTCTTTGTTATAGAAATGGTCATTATGATGGAGACCATGTCAAAATTTATGTAATAAAATCAAAATTTGTTGTTAAAGAATGAAGTTTATGACCTCCTTCAAAGCAATATCCTTTATCAATAATATCACTAATAGTGTATTTGACTCTAATTATTTAATGTTAACAATTGAACGACCTTTGTCACAAGTGTTTTCATTACACCCTAACAAACTTACTTAATGTCAACAACTAATGAAGGCAACACTTATCAAATATTTCTAACATACTAGTCAACAAGACATACTCATTAACAAATCTATCACATTAAGTATTTTTGTTAACTTATTTTTCACTGTCTCGTTTGTAGTCACTTCAAACTTGTGACGTGCGCCTATTTAATCTTTTATGCTTGTTTTTTTTAACACTTATCAATAGTTTCTAATACAACAGTTTTCATTGTTGTTAGTTCAATGATGATCAGTACATAATCATACAATAGTGGACACACTAATCAAGATCGTTTGACACTTTCACTATTTTGTCTAATCATAATTTTTAATGCACCTTTTATTGGAACTTCAATTTTGTTTGCCCATTTTTCTCAACTTTCGAAAGCCCTTCTTTTTACCACAAAATTAATTATTCTATCTACCCATTCTTTTCTGACACACTTCAACATACTTATTTCAATGCATAGTGTCTGGTTTATTATGGGAACATTTTGATCCATCAATCACACTACATGAGATCTATAAATTTAGGTTTGCTCTTATTAAATGTTTGTCCACTCATCTTTCCTCTACTTATTCTTTCAACCTCTTTTCTTCTTGTTATTACTCTTATCACAAATGCTAAAGATTTTCATAACTTCTATGTCGTAACATTGCTTACAAATGGTGAAATCATAACAAATGAAGAAGGGATATACTTTCAATGTGCATCTTCTAATCTATTTTGAATTCTATACAATTGCACATTCATCAATTTGAATAAAAGAATATGCATTACTTTGGAAACTCCTTAAAAAGTTGCATTACCACTATCAACCAAAACTAATAGGATGGTTTAGTTATGTATAATGCTATTGAAATATCATTTGATATTAATGTATCCAATATGATACCATCATTGAACTATATGTTTAATATACAAACAATATTTACAAACCATAATAACATCATTTTATTTTAAGTTATAATTTATTTTGATGATGTTGTTTAACTTGCAACTATCATGAAAAATTCAAATAATTACCATATTACATAATGATCTTTCATTGAGCTATTTGAGAATATTATTTAATACTAAATTACAAAGACTATAATCAACTACAGATATTTTTGGTTCATGACTTTAATTAAATTAAATACTGAAAAAAATTCAAATTTTCCACTCAAACATGTAACGTGAGCAAGGGAAAATTAAATTATTTATGCAAACTGAGAATATAAAAAACCAACATATAAAAAGATAACTCGCAACTTAAAAATTAATACATATATTAAAAAATACAAAATAAAAAGATATACATTTACTTAAAAACAACTCTTGTTAGTTCGATAGTATTTTTCAATTTTTCTTTATCATATATATTTTTACGTACTGCACGTCACGTCATATTATATGTGTAATTTATCATGTATTATTCTAAATATAAATAGGTTTTTAATACTTGTAGTATGAAATACTTTTTTATTTTACTTTATTATTATATCAAAATTAAATACAATATTTCCTTATTCTCAATTATTTTTCTTTAAAATATATACTAAGTATATTTACAAAATCTAAATATCTATCTATCTATCTATCTATCTATCTATCTATCTATATATATATATATATATATATATATATATATATATATATATATATATATATATATATATATATATATATATATATATATATATAAAAGTATCCATAACTTAAAAAAAAGAGTAAAATCCAAGTCAAAATTCGGTCTGAGATAACCAAATTCCGAGTAAATTTCCGGTGTCATGTAAATGTGTTTCTATTGAGAATTTAGTTCTTCGAATATCGAATTCTGAGCGTGATCAGTAAATATGTTTATTTCCGTAAATAAAGTTAACAAGTTCTATTTAAATAATTTTTATTAAAATAATATTATATCCGGAAAAAGAAAATGATACGTGGTAAATTTTGAAGTGATGAAAAAAGATTATTTGTGTTTAAGTTTAACATATAAAGTAAATCCAAAAAAATGTACTTTATTTATTTCTAATTATGCATTTTGGTACGCAAAACAAGAGTCGGAAGAGAACATCAAACATGGAAGTACAACCCCACAATGGGGATCTATTTTATAAAACAGTTTCTGAATGTTTATGGTGTGGCCATGGAGGCATAAATTCGGTTCAGACCCCTATACTTTCTCTCTCTTTTCCTGTCTCTCTCCGCAGGACCAGGTGTGGAAGTAGTTATTAACAATTTGACAAGGAGAAGGCAGTGAACAAACTTTGAGTTCTTCTCAGCAGTGTAGTTCTTCTTCAGTCACAAACGTGTTTAGTTATGGGCATGCAAAGACGTTCAGAACATAGCAACGATCCAATTTTTGTTGCAGCACACAACACAACAAGACAACACCACAAATGCACACAACCAGACAATGATGGTGTCCCAGAACACACATGTGCACAACAAAACCATTCTCCAAAATTGGCTTCTTTCACTTCCCAAAATGCTCCACCTGTGATACCTGCTTTTGTTGCCTTGCTGCTCCTTGTTACTTCAATTGCCCCAGCATTGTGCCACCCCCAACAGGGTAACCACACTTTTAGGCCACCCCATGAGTTGCTCAAGTTGAGGAGAATCAGAGCTCACTTGAAGAAGATTAACAAGCCTCCTGTCAAGACAATTCAGGCATCTTACTTTTTTGCTCCACATCTTGTGCTGCCTGATGACAGTGACACTGATATTTTCCTTTTTATTTATATTTGGTTTAGTAATGTTTTGGGGATTTGTTTTTGTTATTTTGCTGCAGAGTCCAGATGGTGATTTGATAGATTGTGTTTTATCTCACCAGCAGCCAGCTTTTGACCATCCTAAGCTTAGAGGGCACACACCATTGGTAATTTCACCAACTCATTCAGCCAAACAAAATGGCCTTGCTTTTTAGATTTTTTTCATGAGGCCACCTGACAGGAGTTAATTCTGTTTAACTTAGGTAGAACCAATTCAAGTCATAATGCTCTTCTTCCAAACATTTAATTCAGCTTTACAGGATTTGAATTCAATACTACTGCTTAAAGTGAAACAACCACATCTCTTTGATAAGTGGTGCTCGAGATTTTAAATGTTCACATATGGAATTCAGTTATTGTTGTTTTTGAGTTTGAACCAACCATTATGGAATTCCTGTGTGGCTAGACTGTTTTAATCTAATTAATGACTGAAAGTTTTAATTTAGGCATTAAATTTTACAGGATCCACCAGAGAGGCCAAGGGGAAACCACACCGAAGGAGAAAGGGAAAGTGAGAGCTTTCAGCTTTGGAGTGATTCTGGTGAAACATGTCCAGAAGGAACTGTTCCAATCAGAAGAACAACAGAGGAGGATATTCTCAGAGCAAGTTCTATCCGAAGATTTGGAAGAAAACCAAGAGCTGTACGGAGAGACTCATCTGGCAGTGGACATGAGGTTTATGATTTGACCAAAAAATACTAACATCTCCTTTAACCAACACATAGCAGACAGTTTTTTTTTTGTTTTTTTTTTGTCTTTTTATCTCTAATCAAAATCAAAGCTTTATCTAAACAATTTGTGTCATAAAAATGTACACGTGAATCTCTAATCCTAACTAGACAAAATATGAGTATTTTTCCTTTCATTTACTTTCAAAGGAATCATTTTCTTTTTCATTTCTCATTTCATAGTGCATTCATTCATGAATAGGGTTCTTTCATTTCGCGCTATTTTCGACCACATAAAGAAAAAGAGAGAAACTGCTTTTCCGTATTTGTCTACAGTTAGAACATGAGTGCCAAAAACAGCATGGAACAGACAGTGAATGGACAGCACTAGTAAAAGTTTGCTTCTTGTTTGCTCCAAAAAGTAAAATCAAAATCATGACTTAGAAGAGGAGGCTCTCCTTGTATCTGTGTTCTTTATTGGATACCAAACATTTACATTTCCCCAGCAAAATTAAATAAGAAAATCCATTATGTTTCAGCAAAATTAAATAAGAAAATCCATTATGTTTGCTCATTGAATTGATGAACTTGTTTATTAACATGCACCTTAATTTTTCAATTGCAGCATGCTGTTGTTTTTGTAAATGGGGATCAATACTATGGAGCAAAGGCAAGCATAAACGTGTGGGCACCAAGTGTAACTGATGAATTTGAATTCAGCTTGTCACAAATGTGGGTTATTGCTGGCTCCTTTGGTAAAGATCTGAACACCATAGAAGCTGGTTGGCAGGCATGTCCCTACTCTCTTAAATTATCACTCTTACTTCTTCTCATTTATTATTTTTCAATCTTCTTTTTTTGGTTGAATAATAATCATGCCAAATGCATTTCTTCATTTTTTTTTTCTTATTCTTATCCTATAATAACTTAAGGCTAATAAGTAATAAGCATCCATGGTTTTCATTTTTCTTCCTTCAGGTGAGTCCACAACTGTATGGAGACAACTATCCAAGATTTTTCACTTACTGGACAGTGAGTCTTACACATTCATTCACATACCTATTTTTGGCTTCTTTCTACCTTACATTCCACTCATATGTATGTTGTGTCACAGACTGATGCATATCAAACAACTGGGTGCTACAATTTGCTCTGTTCAGGCTTTATCCAAACCAACAATAGGGTAGCAATAGGAGCAGCAATCTCCCCAAGATCTGCTTACAACAGAAGACAGTTTGACATTGGCTTAATGATTTGGAAGGTGCGTGATTTGAACTAATTAATATTAGTTTCGTAAGTAGATCCTAAAATAATATACTCAGTTAAATCATTTTTAAGTTATTGAATATTCATCACTTTAATACTTCAATTAGTGTTCTAATAAACCCAAAGACTAATTTAAATAGTTTTTTTAAAATATTTGAATACTATTTCTAATACTTTGATAAGATGACATTGATACGGATACCTCTATTATTTTTCTATTCAATTCAACTACAACAACTAAAACAAACACATAATCTCTTTTCTTTGCTTAACTCACAAGGTTTTAATTAAATTATGGGTTGAAAGTTGCGTTTTTAATTTAACCTTTCTGTTATACAATATAATCAGGAAGCTTTTTTAGATAAGTCCAATTAGGAACTAAAATATGGTCAAACAATAATTTAATTGGTTTACTTTTTCAGCTTCTTCTTTCTGAGTGTGTGTACATGTCATTGTTACTGTTATTTAAAATGAGAGATTCCGTTAGTTACCTTGATGGGGTCGACTTTATCTATGTCTTTTCCTTTCCTTTTATAAAGCTATAGTTCACGCGTAAATTGCTTTTATTCTGGTCTTACATTACACGAGAACCAAAAGCTACACTTGATCATGATGCTTTTTTTTTCATGATTCTAATTTTATCCAATTATGTCAATGATTATAAACTAAAATACTTTTTAACCTACGACGTGAATGTTAACCAATGTAGTTGAATTCCCAGTTTTATCGTGCTTGCTACTCCACGTAGCGTGGGTGGTCTCTCTAGGTGTTCGTAAATGTGTCGCTCTTAGAGGAGCACAATTAATGGTTACTTAAGCCTAAAGGTCCTCTGTGTAACAAAAGAATATGTTAAAAATGTTTGTATTATTAATCCGAAAAGTTTATAAATTAAAAAAAAAATTTAAGTTGAATGGAAAGATAAAAAATATTTCAAAAAAGTATTTTAGTTCTTAAATAAGTTAACTCAAACATAATTTCCATAAGGAAAAAGAAAAGGACTTTCAATAAGCTAAATATAGTTGGCTACTTCTAAAATATTACGAGTGAAATCATTGAAAAATTGCTTTTAATTTTAAAACAAGACAATGTAATTAAAGTTAAAAAATTCAAATAGAAACATCTTCTCAAACACATTTATTATTGTTAGAACATAAAATATTATTTTAATATAAATTTCTTAAAAATGAAAGGAGTTCTTTATATAAATAAATCTATCCAATTAAAAAAAATCATATTGATAAGATTTATATAATAGTATTAAAAAAATATTATCAAAATAATATTAGTTTTCCAGTTTAGCTACTCGACAAAGATATTTTTGTGTCTACCCATGCAAAACAAGGATACAAATTAAGGTAACACCGGTTGGGAGGTGGAGTAACACTAGTGCTACTATGGGAATTAGTTTCATAAGATTCTGCCACTTTTTTTTTTTTTTTTTTTTAATTTTGATTCTTTTCTTCACTACACGTACCCGAGGAAAGCATAAGAATTCATTATTGAAAGCTAGAGTCAATACAAAGTTGATAATAAAATGATGTTTAATATAATTAGCATTTTGAACTTGATAAAAATATGATGTGACTTGTTAACACACTATTATTTTTAGTCAAATACATAATATTGTATAATAAATGATGAAATTTGATTTTGTGTATAGGATCCAAAGCATGGACATTGGTGGTTGGAGTTTGGGTCAGGTGTACTGGTAGGGTATTGGGCAGCAAACATGTTCAGCCACTTGAGGAGCCATGCAAGCATGGTGCAATTTGGAGGGGAAATAGTGAACACACGTTCAAGGGGTTACCACACAAGCACCCAAATGGGGAGTGGGCATTTTGCTGAAGAAGGGTTCAGAAAAGCAGCATATTTTAGAAACTTGCAAGTGGTTGATTGGGACAATAGCTTGCTTCCTCTTTCAAACATTCATCACTTGGCTGATCACTCCAATTGCTACAACATAAGGCAAGGGACCAGCAATGTTTGGGGAACTTACTTTTACTATGGAGGGCCTGGAAGGAATGTGAGATGCCCATGAACACATCAAATACCATCATCCAATACAGATTCTAGACCCTTTAATATCTCTACTTTTCTCCATTTTTTTCCAATTGGATTATTAATTCTTATATTTGTTTCTATTTAATGTTTTGGCTATACGTAAAAGTTGTAAGTTTTAGTCAGATGAATCAATTTATTGTATTTCCGTTGTTCTGAAACAAAACCCAATGCCAACTTCTGTGTCTTTTACTGTGGATGCTTCAATTATTTGTGGCTTTGCATGTGGGTGAACAACACAACCATGAAGCATGAGCATGCTACTGCCATAAACAAATCATTTGAGTTTCGGTAGAGAACGATGTTGGTAGGTCTTTTATAAGACTTTATGCTCCTTAAAAAAATAAAATAAATTTCTTCATGTATTAAACTTTTAATTTATAGTTACTTTTTAAAAGTTTTCTCATATTCTTCTTACTAATATTTTTATTAGAACTTTAAATAAAAAAATGTATTAACTAAAAAAATAATATATTTTATGAATATTTTGATGAGATTGATAAGAGATTTTTACCAAGTCTTTTAATTTTTTTATTTTTATTTAATATAAGATTTGAATTCACATTAATTCTTATCAATCTCTCCTTCAGTGCATTGATGTTTGTGGGAGTCAAGGGTTTAAGACCTTCTTCTTATTTATGATTTTAGCTCTTAAAATTGAATAATCATTAAATATATATTTACACTTTTTTATTTTTCACCTTCTCATACTCATTTATTAATATATTATTTGACTTTCCCAAAATTAATAGTCAAAATCTACTAATAATATAATTTCATTCAACATCAGATCATTTCTCTTAAGAGGAAGTATTTATTAACTATAAATACCTAAATTACTTCTATTATCTTTAAGTTGAAACCCTTATCAAAAAGACTTTTGATAGAAGGATCTATAATTAAGAATCAGTCACATATTATTATACTCAACTAAATCAATCATTTAAGACAGTTAACATCTGATAAATTTTCACCATGAAACTCAAGCTAACTATTATTTCACACTTGAATTCCTAATCTTATTTATTATTTTAAATATAAAACATGCTTAATTACCATTATATAAAAGAAGCAAAAAATTAATAAAAGAATGTTGCAGAGGATTTAAAAGTAATATTTTCTTAAAATTATTCTCATTAAAGAAATTATTATTAAAATATTGAATGTATTTTTAAAAAATTGTTCATTTTCTCTATAATTAGTAGTAAGGAATTGTTCTCATTAACATGTTATTTAGAGTTTTGAATGTATTAAAAAGGTTTTATTGAGAAAGGTAAAAAACCACTTTAATAACTTATATTTAAAATTAGTTAATATTTGGCTAGGCGGAATTCCATTGATGTATGCAAACCATTCTTTGATATTGATTTTAATAAACTAAAATTAAGAAGAAAAAAAGGTTTTATTACATTTTTAGTTTTATTTATGTAATAAATGTTTTTTTTTATAAAAAGCTGTATTGTGTTACTTATAATATAGGTGTAATTGCTCATATTTTTCTTAACTTATCACTTTCTTACAAATTTTACTCCTAACTTGTTATTTTTTATTGCATTTTATCCTAACTATATTGCGATTTCCTTACATATTTTCTTTAAATTTCAAACGACACATAGTGTGTATCTGAAATAGTTATTTTAAACAAAATAGTATATTTTAATCATCATTGTTGATTAATTAATTTCACTTTATTTTAACAGTTAATTCTGATAATTCCAATCAATAAAATTAAAATAATGGCTTTTAACTTTAACTACAAATATGTTAAAAACATGAGAACAGAATCATCTACATCCCACATATACCAAAATTAACAATATTAATATTATAATTGTGTATAATATATATATATATATATATATATATATATATATATATATATAATCATTATTTTTAAAATGGAATCCATCATATATGATTTCAAAATTTAAAGGTTTAACTAGAATTCAAACTAATTTATTAAAATAATATTTTTATAATATAATAAATATATAATAATTTCATTAATAATAATATTTTTTTAAAATTAATAAAAATTATTATCATGATTATAATAAAAAATATAAGATAAATATATAATAAAACAATTATTATTTAAAGTTGATATAGTTAATATAAAATAAAAGAATTATATTAAAAAGATCTGAAAAAACAAATCAAAATTGAGTCGATTTTTCTAATTTTACTCATTTTGTCCCAATTTTTAGATGGATTTTTTATTAAACCAGTTAGACCATTATGGAGTATGATTTTCATCCAATGTGTATAATAAACTCTTAATCTATATAAATATAATTAATAACTATTGTTACTTACTTTCTTACTCTTATAAAACAGTTAAGATAACTTTAACTATACAAATTCAAATAAAGTGTTATATATATATATATATATATATATATATCACATTAACGTTACATAATTTACGCTCAACTTTGTTCCAATAAAACAACTTTAAACCATTTTTTTCTCTACTTATTTTTTAAACTATTTGGTGAAATAATTTACAAAAAAATTTAATAGACTTACACACCTAATATTCTTTCCCAAGGACAATTATTTCAGAACTTCAATCAAACAATTCAATAAATACTCTTAAATCTTTATCTACATAAAAAGAAAATAATTTTTTATCATATTCAATTTAAAATTCTTGAAAACTAAAAATGTCCTAGTTTTAATTCAATATTAACATGACATCTAATTATTTTAAAAAATAAATGTTAGAAAATTCTAGTATATTCCAATTAAATTACATTTAGAAAACCAACAAATAGAATATAAAAAACTACCCGAAATAGAAATAACAAAATGAGCTAACTTAACAACCAACTCACCAGAATGTCTAAAAAATGGTAAAACAAATTAGTAAATTTAACCATTATGATTTAAATTATAAAAATTAATTAATTAAAATTTTATAATTAATTATTTTAACACATAAATATAATATTTTTAAATTTATCTAATAAAAATATTAATTAATAAATAAAAATTTAAAAATTATTCATATAATTAAAAATATATTATTCAACAAAATACATATACAAAATTTTATATAAAAAAAATTACTGACATAATCCGCTGACCCACTATTCCTCCCATCCCATTTTTTATGGCCAATATGTCACAGACTGGTGCGTTTCAACATCCCTAATCCGTATCTACAACTGCCACGGTTTAAACAGTAGAAAATTAATTAGTACCATCTGCTGCTAAAATAATTGATCACAGTGAAAAGTCACTATTTTCTAAGGCACAAAAGTGAAAAATGAAGGGTCAACAACTATAAGAGACAGAACATTGGAAAGTTGAACCCAATAAGGTATTCGTTTCTAAATAGCCACAGAAGAAAGAAGGGAACAATTAAAACAAAAGAAGTGCGGAATTACCAAGGGGTACCCAATGGAGCATAAAATGGAGATAAGCATGAGAAGTCATTAAAATATAGGAGTGAGTAAGGGCTTACTTTAAACAAGGACCAGTAGCCCCAAAGGGTTGGTCTTGGTTAAGTGGAATACGACACGGGTTTCGTATTTGACAGTTTGCAGGTTCCAGTCCCAGTTGTCTGAGGTAAGATGAAAATTCCTCTACAAGCACTGACTCTAAAGACTTTCCTTTTGCCGTTGCCTTGGGCTAGGGCACCGTCCCCTCTACTAAATTTTCACTAAAAAAATAGTAGGACAGGTGCCAGTTGGGTGATAACCTTCTTGTCTCGTAATAGTAGAAGCAATGAGTTAACAATTGTAAGACTGTAATAGATGGTCCCAACTTCAAGTGCAATGTGAACATGAGTTTCAAAAGGACATTCAAGCAATATGGAGTACAAATGGATCCTCTTCTGCAACACTATCGTCTATAAATTTAATGAGACCATCAGGTGTGTAGATCTGAGATGTGTATGATTTCATATCATTCAGGTCCACCAAATCACTCATTGAAGTGCTCTCGAAATCAGAGGACAAGTGAGATTGCTCATGTACCATGGCATATGTTCTTCCAATATGCATGCATAATTTGGAAAACCTAGGATCTTCAAATGCTTTGATAATATCCACAACGCAATCATGATTTCCTTCTAGAGCACGCATGTGTTTCATCTCTGAAGCAATCTTCTTTAAACACCCAAGATTCATGGATAAATGCTGAGCTATTGTTGATGAACTTCCAGTCGTACTTCCATATCTTCTATTTATATAACGAAGCAACACCAAGTTGGCCAAGGTGAAGTATGACATGAAAGTAAAGAAGTCATAAAAATTCATCCCTGATTTAAGAGAAAAGTCAGTTTTACATGTATGACCAGCTAAAGCATTCTCAATATTTAAATGTAGTTTCTATCAATGTTTGAGCAAATGCTACTATGTCTTATGTGGTTAGGTCAATGCTCCAATAAGCATTATAAAACTTCAAGAAAATATTGTAATTGATATAAACCAGTGAAATTTAATATTAAAAAAAAAACACATACTCTAAGATGTTGGCATTAGTTTTCCCCCATTAGCATATAAAAATTCATGACACATGGTAGGAAAAAGCAATCAAGTATATTGCACCTGTGTTAGCAGCAAGATTGCGCTGGCAGAGACCTTCAAAATCCTCACATAAATCCTTGATGTCTTCTATGTATTCCTTGGCCTCATTGTAGTCCCTTAAAAGTAAATTCCACTGTCATGGCATGAAAATTCGTGAGATAAACTTAGTTGAAATATATTAACCCTTGAGCTTGACTCTAAAATATTTATTTAATTTGCATTGATCTATTTACCACCCAAGAAAGGTTATAGGCATTGAACCAATTGTGGTTAATAGAAATCGTATCCTCCTGAAAACATAATATACATCATCAAATTATTAGATCATATCAAATATCACAGAAAAAATCATCTGACGATAAAGCTGATGTAACTGAAATCTATTTTTGTTCTGGAAATAAAGGTTTTCAAAAGCTATCTATTCTAATTGTGTTCTTGTCCTGCTTATAAGTAACATCTAGTGTGCGTTTGGTTCAACTTATTATATTGTTATCAACTTTCTGAGAGAACTTCTGAAAATAAATTAAAATTTCAAATAATCATTTCTCTGAACATTGACCTAATGCAATCACTCAACTAGAAATGATTTTTTTATGGTTCAGAATGAATTATTCACCTTATGCCAGCCATTCTAACAGTGAATTCCTGGAAACCAGTCAAACTACATATTTTCATTACTAGATCCGCTGTGTTTTCTAGCTTCCTGGGAAATAAACTTAACAGAGATATAATAAATCAAACCGAAGTTTCTTTTAAAGGGACTGCAGGATTGCCTTACAAAATCAAAGAGAAATATAACAAAATAACAGCAATCCAGAAAGTGAAGCAAAACATACCAAATTATGAACTTGATGATACCATCCGCTGGGAACAAATATAATTTCACCTGCATCTTGTGTGCATTCTAACCAGATAGCCTGCATACGCATATAAACCCACTGAAGGCTGAAGCAAAAAAGTATACTTGAAAACAGCAAGATTGATGAGAAAATGTAGAAATTTACCTTGATAAAACCAGGAAACTTTGAGTTTGACACTTCATCAAAGATATTATATACACAATTTTTCATATTCCTGAATCAAAGTTGAAAAGAACTAAGTTTTGACAACTAAGCAAAATGACAAACACATAACCTCCCAACCTCACCTCTGAAGAAAACACAGCCGCCAAAACAATCAAGAATGATTATTTTAATAAAGAGTGAACTCAAAACAAAGAAAGAAAGTTGGAGGAATGAGGGAATGTCGATTTCCAAGAATAAAAGGTTTGGTGAAAGTGGAGGTCATAGTAAATCACAGCTGATAGATAATTTGAAAATTGACAGATCTAACTAGATTTTTTTTTTAATCACAGTGCCCAAATTCTTGTCCCAAAAAAATGATATTAATTTCTATTTGATAATGAATTCATGCCTGTCAAATACAAAATGACATTGGGAAGGATCTAGAAAAAGCCATCTCTTCTTTCCACAGACATTTGCTGACCAACTATACGACCTGAAAACATCAGCATGAAGAGGAGTCCAAGATCCTGCCAGAATAATTGAAAGCAACTGGTTACTGGTGGTTTTTCATCTCTCTGTAAAGGGAATACGGCATGATCTGATATACATTGCTGCTACTGCTAGAATAATTTATTACACCTATAATCACACCTTTCACGCCCATGTAAACAAATCGATAGTCAGAGCAACATATTTCCTCATTTGGTTGTTCTGTGTCAGAATCAATATGGATTCTGAAGTTGTCAAGATACAGATTGAGCCAATCATCACGAAAGAACCTTGGAGTGTCATATGCTACGTATTCAGGATACTCCTACCAGAGTGAGGGAAAGAAAATTACTAAGCAATCGGTACTAAAAAGAGTATAAGACATTACACTTGCCTAGCAAGAGGACTCTCAACGCAAAAGGATCAAACATTCTAGTCATTTATTAAATTTCATTTGTTCTTGCCGATGGTATGTATATTTTTATCTAAACAAACCACGTGCTCAAAAATTGATACACAGGGAGCTTGCACAACAACAATACAAAATGAACGCCTAAAAATTCTAAATACAATTAAATTTCAGGTAAAGCAACAATACCAATAGAAATGCCCTGCATAAAAGTGTTGAATAAGAACAAAGTGAGTGGAAATGTTAATTGGTCAACTTTTGTAATCCACAATGCAACAACCGCCCCTGCTTCCCAGCTTCTTGCATTCACATATTCATGAATCATAACTCTTAATCAAAAGGGAACTGAGAAAAAGTTAAAAGGGTATACCTTTACAAAATGCCAATCCTTCAAATACGGTACAGATACAGATGCACCATTACATGCAAAATTTTCATTATTACACTGAACAGCAGAAGCCTCCTCAAGATGAAGGCAACGTGCTATAAAATCTGCGACCAGCATCTCCTCTCTTTTCTGATCAGTGAATTCTCTGGTGTCACAATCAGCAACCTTCATTTCACAAAATTTTAACCAGAAATTAGAGGAATCGTATTCTTCTCCAATCATGTTAAATTTTCAGTACAATCAATCACCAACAATCGAAATTAGACATGTATACAAAACATCATAACTAATGAACGTCCTTTAATTAAACATCGATGGGGTGTATTGTATTGTATTGTATGTAGGATATACCTGAACTTTAGAAGCTCCAAAATGGGTGGAGAAAAATTGAAAGTTGGGTTGGGAATGAAGTGTGACCCAATCAGTGGAAGCTCTCCAATGATGAGAATCCATTAGCCCAGTGAACACCACGGGCTTGTTCTTCTCCATATATCTTTCCACAAACTCACTGTAACTCAGTTCCTTCCAATTTACCCTCTCTATTTCTCCCTTTATATTGATATCCATTACCCTCTCACATCAAAACCTGCGTTCTGCTCCCAATAGAATCACCAGTATGAAGAGGAGTTCTGGATCTTAAACCAGAACTAGGCCCATTCAGTGTTGCACGGCACACGGACAAGTTTCATGAATAAAATAGACACTTATTTTCTTCCCCAATGGAAGATGCTAATTGATATGAAACTTGTTTTTATAAAACTACACGAAGTTGTTATTTTATGATTTTTTATTTTTTTATTAAATTTGTTCATGAAAAATATTCATCCACGTTTATAATTTGTACATTCCGTATTGTTTTTCTTTTATAACATATAACATTGCTCTTCTAGAAAAATAAATAATATATCAATCTAAGATCAAAATAAATAGTATCTAAAACAAAATAATTTTTATGAATTTAAAATATTAGTACAAATTTGTTTCTTGAATACATATTCAAGACCGATGAAAATTGTATGTGTTAAATTTCTTCAATTTCAAAATTCAATAGGTTAATTATTACTTTATTAAGTTATTTTATTCTTAAACTTTTAAGGAGATACGATTGACTTTAAAAAATATTATTCTTAATATTTGTTAATTTTAAACACCTTCTTTATTAGGTTTATATTTTTTACATACTAATAAAAGTAAGATATTTAGATCGATTCTACAATTTTATTTTATTTTCACAAAAAGTTCATATGTAAGTAATATTGTGAATTTTGAAGCTTCATTAGGTAGATTCCTCAAAATCACTAATTATATGTTCACGTGAAAATCCAAGAACCATATAAGGAAACATGGAGAGACCAAACTAAACCCTAGATGAAGCACATTATGCAATTCGATATTCGGGAAGACTATATCTATATCAGAAAAAATCAACGCTAATAGTGGACTTAACTTAAAAATTTATAAAAAAAACTATAACATGTTCTTACTTAAATGAAATTAATTATGTATTTTTAATTTTAAAAACATTTCCGGTGATAACATTGGCGTCCAATATATAATATTTAATCAAGACTTTGTCCAAAAAAACCATGAAGCATTGAACCATGGTGGTAATTTCATTCCTCTCTTATACAACTCCTTCAATGGTTATAAATATTACCAACTCCATCAACTAGCCATTAATGTTGACTTTAGGAAGAAAAAGGGGGCCAATATAATTAAAAATTTATATAGTCATTTTTTTCATCATTTCTTAACTTCTCCCGGATTAATTGAAAGTAAGAGAAATAAATCACATAGGAAACCATCTTGCCTCAGCTCCAAAATGACTCATATGGGCATATTAGTCTTAACTATACTAAACTTCAACATAATCATGTATTAACACCAATTATTGTATTAGTTATGGAGATTATAATCCTACCTACACCATGTCCGGACTGTGATTTTAGTTTTGATTATACACAATGATTTTAGTTTTGATTATACACAAAGATCTCAATAACAATACATTTCAATATAATCATGGTTATCAAACTCATGAGTTAACTTGCTGTCTCGGACGAGTTAACGAGTCATGTAACCAATGACGAGTTAACTCGTAAGTAAACTCGTTTTAGAATAGTCTTGGTGAATTTAGTGGACTCGAGTAAACTCACGAGTTAGAGGTGTAACATCTCAAAATTGATTATATTTTGAGTAATTTAAATAAATTTAAAATAAAATACTCATTTATGTAAAAATAAATAATATATATATATATATATATATATATATTAAAATAATAATCATAGTTTAAATTATTATTAATATATATATATATATATTATTTAAATTTTTAGTAAGTATATATATATATATATATATATATATATTAAAAAAAAAGAAAAAAAGGATGAAGATAAGAATCTTATCTCTTCATGTTAAGAGATAAGTTTTAATTAATGATAGGAAATCATAAAAAAAAAAATCAATGAAGAGATAAGATTCCAAAACATTAAATGAAGGAAAGAAAAAAAAGAAAAAAAATAAAATAAAAATGATGGCTATAAATGGGAGGGGGAGGGGTTACGAAGGAGAAAAGAAAAATTGAAGGAGAAGAAAAGGAAAGAGAGGAGAGAGAAGGAAAGAAAGAAAGAAAGAAGAAAGGGAGAGAAAGATAAGGAGAGAAAGATAAGTCACTTTTGCAAAATTTTAGTACATCATATGTAATTCTTAAGGTAGGGGAAGAAGACATTTATTAATATTCTTCTTTATTTTTACTTATGGTTATGGAGTGAGGTGTCTCTAACCTTATTATATTTATTTTTTATATTTTATTTACCTCTAGTTACGTCATCGGTCGTGCTTTATATTTATTTATTTATCTTCAGTTCTACACTAATCCTAATTTAATTATCTCCGATTACGTACTAATCCTTCTTTATGCTTGCTTATTTATCTCCAATCCTGTATTAGTCTTATTTATTTATGTCCATTACTGGTCCTATTTATTTATTTTATTTTATCTTCAATCTTGCACTGATCCTATTTTAATTATCCTTAGTTATGTACTAGTCTTGTTTGTTTATTCTATTTTATCTTCAATCTTGCACTTGTCCTATTTATTAATTTATATTTATATTTTTTTTATAATAATATCTATTTATGAAGATTTGATGATATTGTAGATAGAGGTTGGACTTTGGGGATTTAAATGAGTAAATATCATCGAGAGAGTAATTAAAATTAGGTTCATTTATCCTGACTAGTCACTACAAATTTAATTTAAATTTTTATAAATGGAATAAATAAAATAAGTTGAGCAAGTTGAAAAATATATTTTATATATAATTGTAAGATGATATTATTTTAAATGATAATTGTTCTCACTACCTTATTGTTATTTCTTGTGCATGTTACAACTAAAATATCAACATAAATAGATGGAAGCATGAAGATGGAAGACACGTATCATTCAACCATTGTTAGAAGAAATTTTTTATCAATTGTAATAATTGTTTCTAATATAAAAATAATATAAACTTGTAAAGCTCACATATTTGTACATATAAATGTATAAACATTTATCTCATATCTTACTTTTGTCAAGACTTAATAGAAAATAGTAATCTCTTAAAAATATGGTTAACATCGTGATAAAAAAAAAAAGGACGCCACAAGAGGCAAGTACCGAGTTTAAAAGAGAAGAGACACTTAAATATTCTCCTACACTCATCATTTCTTTTCATAGGTTCAGATCTCGTATTCCTCTTCCTTTCTCACTGTTCACTGCTGGTCATCATCGCCGATGGTTGCGTCACAGTGCTCCCTTGGTCTCTTCCCTTTAGTCGTCCATCTATTCCCTCTTGTTATGAGGTGGTTGCATCGCACGTCTCTCCCGGTGGTTGTGTGTCTCACCTCAATATCGCTGCTCTTTGGGCACCCTTTTCGCTAGCCCTCTCGCGGGTTAGCCACGAGCCACCCCTCTCGCAAGTTAGATTGAAGGATTGAGAGATTTGAGATTTTAGGGTTTTCAAATAGATTTAGGGATTTAGAAAAAAAATTAATTATTTTTTTAATTATGATTATTTTGTTTGACGAGAATCAATTAATTTTTTTTGTTATTTTAGATATAAATATTAAAATTAAAAATGTTTGAAACTTATTTCTATGTATAAGTATTATTGTATAATTAAAAATAGGATTTGATATTAAAAAACAATATTTTGTTTTTGGCTTCTTATTTCTAAACTTCCTTTTTTACGGCAAAATACTTTAACTTCATATGTTTAACACCTTTAGAATACTTATTATTAGAGAAAAAACATTTTTATAGATTTATCACGATACATCTTCAGTGGTTTGACAATATTGTCGACAATTTCAATCTCTGAAATGAATTTTCACAATCCATTAGCCTGAAAACATGCTACAAATTCAGTGTTCATTGTAGATGTAATAACAATAAATTATTTTGCACTTTTTCCACGACATTGCTCCTTCAATAAAAAGAAACACATAACTAAGAGTGGATTTCTTGTACTTACACATCTAGCAAAATCAAAATCTAAATATTCAATCACCTCAAGATGAGCATACCTCCTATATGTAAGCATATGATACTTTGTTCCTTGTAAGTATCTCAGAACTTTTTTTGCAACTTTTCAATGTTTCATTTCCAGATTACTTTGATATCTTCCTAACATTTCAACTGCAAAACTTATGTCTGGTTGAATACAAGTCTGAGCATACATAATAATCCCAACAACAAATGCATACAAAATTGTTTTCATTCAAAATCATTCTTAGGCAATTGAGCAAGACTAAACTTTTCTATTTTTTGAATTGGAACCGGTGATGTTGAATATTTTTCCATCTTGAATCTCTCTAATACTTTATTTATATATGCTTTCTAGGATAGACATAACATTCCTTTTAATCTATTTTTGAATATTTTGATTCCTATCACATAAATTGTCTCATCCACATATTTCATTTCAAAGTTATTAGAGAGAAATTTCTTAGTCTCATGAAGAAGATTAAGATCATTAGTTGCAAACAAAATATCATCAACACACAAAATAAAAAATATAACCTTACTCCCGTTACCTCTAAATATATATCGATCAACAACATTTTTCTTAAATCAAAAGGAAATAATGGTATCATTAAACTTCAAATAACATCGGGAAGCTTGCTTAAGTTTGTATATTGATTTCTTTAATTTGCACACATGTGTTCCTTTCCTTCAACTGAGAACCCCATTGGTTGTCCCATATAAACATTTTCCTCTAAATCCTTATTAAAAAAAGGTAATTTTCACATTCATTTGATGTAGTTCCAAGTCAAAATGGGCTATTGTTATTGGAAAATTTACAAATATATCTAAAGAATGAGTTGGAAAAATATTGAAGTTAAAGGAAAAAAAAAAATAAAGATTCAGATAGTAAAAAAATCGAGATTGATGATAAAAAATTGAGATCGAGATGGTGAAATTTATATTAATGGTAAAAATCGAGATTGAGATGATAAAGATCAAGAGGGTAAAAATCAAGAATGAGATAAAAGGGTGAAAATCCAAATTGAGG